GAGGTGGGGAGGGGGGAGGAGGAGGGGTTGGGAATTTGAAAAAATGAAAAGCTAGAAGTCAATATCGTGTCAATACCTAAAAGTACATTCCTGGCCAAAAGTTCACATTCTCTGAAAAATTCTTCGTACATAAATCATTATAGCAACTTAACGCTGAAATGATCGGTACAACCAAAGTGAGTGCAGACAAACGTGTGAGTTGAATATTTCATCAAGCTCTGTAGGGTCTTATGAAAAGACAGGCTCAACTACGCTTTCATCCCCCCTCCTGCTTTTAAATCCACTGGTGTAATTTGTTTAGAATGTAATTAGCGCATTCATTGTGCGATAAGACTGTCTTTAATCGTGCCATAAACAATTATTACTGTACGGAACGTCGGCTTACATATAACCGCCAGGTGATTCAACTAGGCGCGCACTAACCCTAACCCTAACCCTAACCCTAAGCAAATGTTGCTGGTATTACAAATTTTAATTGTTTCAAATATTAGAGGGAGTTCGGTACTATTTCGAGCAACATTCATGCATATCAGTTGTTCCGGGCGGAGCGGATAGCGAGAAATATTTACTCTCCTGCAACTTGATGCAGTGACTCAACTCTTGAGAGAATAACGAATTTAATGACCATTAAAAAGCCGGGATAAAAGACGTCGTTACTGAAAACAAAGCACTAGCAACTATTGACTCAGACCAACACTGAATGATTACTACCAGCATTCATTATAGTCAAAACCAAGAAACTAACACATTTTGATACGTTTTTGACGCTACGTAGACTGATTAAAACCGGTTTTGTTGAAAGAATTTGAGCGAATCGCTGAAAACGATTTATGAATGATTTATTTAATAAAATTGCAGTGAAATCAAAGTGACAGAATGTGATTTTAACTTATTCGCAAAATCGCGAAATAAAACTCTCGTGAAATATTATCCTGAGCAATTTGTCTTTCAGTATTTTCGGCCTACTCGTTGGCCTACTCGGAGAGAATGAGCCATTGCCGCCGGGATGGGGGTAGTTCCCATCTTACCCATCCCATTTTTCGTCAGCCTATACACGCATCCAAGAAGACTGCATTACTGATTTAGACATACGTTACTATAACACCTGAATTGAAGCTTCAATCTTCTCCTTGACCTCCTTGTCCTCACTGAAAACTCCACTCATCTTAATCATTAGCTCAAATCAATTTTATGGCCTTCCATAAAAATCGATAAGTTCGAAAGTGTGTATTTCTGTTGACTTTTTCTTAGTTTCGTTTACTGAAGCACTTGGCTTTACTTTCAAAATTAAATTGATAATACGACGCCCTAACATGAGCACTCCTGGAAACACTTTAAAACAATTAACCGATGTTAATAAAGCAATCATATCGTCGTAAATGTGGCCGTTCGGTCGTACTGTACTAATTCTATTTTAGACATGTAAAATGATTGTTGGTTCTTTTCATTGGGTAACCAGATTATATTTTTTGTGCCCTTTGGTCATATGCGTAATTTTAAATTGAAAAGTCCCCGGCAGGGCCTAAATGAGAACGTACTAGATACGACTCGTATGATGTATGCCATTCGATGTTAGCTGCTCACAAAAAAAGGTCAACTTATTAAAAGTCAAATTTCACCTGGATCGGCCGCCATTCTTATTCTTTTCAATGGAAAGTAAACGTCGTTTTTTTAGTAAGTCACAGACAGACCAACGCAGTGCCTTGGCAGCGCAAGGCAACGCAATGCATCAAATTTTGGGTATTCACACACAACAGACTACTCGGTTACTTGTTTGAGTGAAAGTGTCAAGTGGGGCAAACGTACCAGTGTCAATTGTTCCCAATTCATGTATCAAACTTCAAATTTCCGAGCTAAGGTTAAAATTAGTCACTGTTTTTTTAAGTTCCGAAAGTTATGGGACATCTAGCTTTTCATAAGGGAGTGTCGGGGAAGTGTTTGGTGAGCTATTTTTCTCACATGCAGAGCAGACATAGTGGAATGTCACCCCAAAACACTGTGGGAAGTACTTCACTGCAGATATGTGCTAACTGCTTGAGAAATAAATGTACTTAAAATGAATTAAGTCATCATTTACAGCCTGCCCTATAATTCATGCAGAGCATTATGTTTCTCTTTATTTTATCAGTTTTTCGTGGCATATTCGTACTGCCGTGGAAATTGTTTGAAATTAGCGTCATGTTAATTAAAAATCATGTAAACATGAAAGTTTATTTAATTAACCTCGGTAATTTGCAACAGTGGCCCGTTTGTGGAAGTCTATCAGTAAATTGATGATAATTACACCAGAAATACGGTTGGTATGCAGCTACACTGCTGATCAATTTTTAAAACACTGAATGTACTTATGATACCTCATTAGAGCTTGATAACAAATGCATGGTGCAAATTATATTTGCTGCAACATTGAACAAGAAAACGTTCCCTTAACTTGAGTTTGACACTGAATCTCATTACGTTTAGCATTGGCGATTTTACGTAATAAATTAGACGAACAGCCATTGTCATCAGAGTTTATCAATGAAATAAATACAATTGTTAAAATGGTTTTATCTTACCAATGAGCTGTTGATATACAGTATTCGCAGTATTGAAAACAGTACGACATCGTTTTGGTGTTCAGTGCGAATAACCATGTTACCTTATACGTTTTGCATGTCCGTATACAAGAGACCTAATGTTTCCTTAAAATTCATCAGTTCACTTTCCAACTGTCCTGTAGATGTTCAAAAGTGTGTAAAGCAAGTTAAAACAGACACAGCAAAATGCCCTTTCCTTTGGGGTAACGCATTAGGGATGAGGCGAAACAATTGTCATCTCACGGGACCCGATTTAGGGGGGAGGGGTGGTGTTACCCGGTACCAACCACCTCTGGAAGTGAAATCTTAGATTTGGTCCCCAAATTTCTCCAAAACTAAAAGCCAAATCACAGAAATAAATGGACTGTCTGTCTGCTTATATGCTAAAAAAACATATTTGTGTATATAAATAGCCACTACAGACCCCCAGTATCGAGCATTCGAACAGCTCTCTGAGGGAGGAGGGGGTATGTACCGATACCCACAAACTTAATTCATAAAATCGGGTCCCTATTTTGGACCATTGTTGTGACATCGCCCCTATACTATAACTTGGAAATAACAACAAAGTAGAAGGGAATCCCGATATTTATTAATGGCCGTTAAATTGCTTGTTCCGGTTAAAACATTTATGCAAGCAAATAATGGGATTAAAATAGTGGGACCAGCATTCTGTTTGGAAAGGTATTTGAGACCATATACTTGAAGATATAGAATAAAATACGTAATACCAAACTTTTCAAATAATTCAGGCTTACTTATTCTCTCCAAAGCAGCAAAGTTTTCTTGTAGCTTTTCCTCGATTGGCTGACTGTGCTCTTCGTACGAACTTACAATTGCTTCTTCGAGGACGCTACATGAATTCATTACTTGCGTTTCAAGGGCTTTCTTAAAATCTATAAAGGACAAACATAGACGTTATTTTTGTTAAATTCCTCAATTGCAACCGAATTACTTTCAGTCGAGTCTTGGCCTATCACTAATCCTCACAATGCATTGGGTACCCAGGGTGTTAAAAACCTTTGGTAAACCATACTTTACAACGAATTAATAGCTTTACCGTTTAGTAAATCTGTGTCTCTTTTACGCTTGGAATTAATGTCATCGATCTGCTGCTGAAGTCTTCTTTCTAGCTCCTCGCTGGAACTTGGGATTTTATCTCCTTTGATTGGTATGGAATTTCCTTGGGCAAAAGATGTTCTGTTTTCACCATCATAGGAAGCTCCTTCCTCTGGCATACTGAAGGGAGCATACTAATCATTATTTGATCTCAGTTCACTTTCCAATGATATTCACAAACATATGAACAAAATGACTTGAAGTAAAAAAAAAAACGGAAAAAAGAAAAATTAAGAAAACGGACACTCACCACTGTTTTATATTATCGGGTCTAGAAGTATCAACAACATCTCGTAAACCATTCATATTTTTAAGATCTAGAATAAGGCTTGCTTCTGAAGTCATGACACCATTTTCTTGTCCCTCCATGCTCAGGCTCCTAAAAAGTTAGCAAAAAAATTATCCAAACTTCCTTACTCGTTTATTTACCGGACGAACAAACTTCTAACACCAAAGGAAACGAATAAAAGTCTATCATGTAAAGAAAATTGGTATTAATACCCCAGTAGTTACCTCTACTTCTTGCACAAGGTTTTCTGCTTTTAAGAGGGAAGCTTGAGGTTTTGAGTTTTTATGCTTAAAAAAGCGCGCGAAAGTTTGACGCGCGTGGTCACGAGCCTTCAAATATTTTGACCAGCGCTTACCTCCATCAGGGCTGGTAATATTAATTTGATCATGATAAAAATACAATAAATTAATAATATTCATTTCTAATTCTGTTCTAAGTGTTTCACAGACAGATAAATATATGAGTATATTTAATCAAATGAAAAATCCACCACTAGAACAATAACAAAATCAAAACGAAATAAAGTTATTAACCCAAAGCATTTTAAATAGGCGGCGAAGTAAATTATCATTCGCATCAGTTTGAATGCAAATTAAACCGAAGGGGGTTAAAAAGAAAAACAAACAGGAATATTATTTCTTAATTGTTGGGATCCCTGTTTCCGTTTTAGCTTTAGATTACGTGTCATTACCCAGAATGCCATGTAATCGTAAGGAATCATCCGAATGTCACGTGCTTAGAGTTGAAGCTTCAAAATGGCGACGTTGGTACAAGTAGTGAGCTATCTATTAGTTATTTTAGCTTTCCTTGCTGGTTTTGTGGAACCCGTGGCTGCATTTGACGGAGGAGATGCTGTAGCACTTATTCTAGGATTGGTAATTGGTATTATGGGTATTTGTGCGTGTCTTGGTGCCTATGCGAGGAAGCAACAAGGAGTATAACATCAGGACATTTTGTAAATTGGCCGGAAGTAATGTACAGTACGAAAGTAGTGTAAACTCTCAACAAAAATGTTTGATAATAACAGAAGAAAACAATGAATAGTATTCAAAGATGATTATTAGAATATAAGGAGTACGAGCTATGAAATTATCTGTGGTTGCTGACTAGGAAACAACACGCGAAACCGTATAAACATCGAACTGAAGCGGCTCGACGAAAGTGTGATGTCCAAAGTATAATCTAGCCAAAGAGGTCCGTCATCTTTTAGTGCGATTAAAGAATCCTTGTCGTCCTTCAACAGTTTGGAAGCAGCTAGTTGTATGATTTTGTACTCGAACTCTTCTAGTGTTGTGCAATATCTATCTAGACAATGCGGATCATTTTGCACCACGTGACTCCTGGGTCAGCTGATGAAGAAGATTTTGATGGTGTAATAACTTGGATAGTAAAATCAATGGAAGTCCTTCAGAATTTTGTCTATTTTTTCTAACAATTTCATTGCCTATTGATACTTTCACAATCAAAGAAGAACGATTTTTGGTTTTTGTTTACTACAGATCTATGCACATTGATAGCTCACATTATATCCATCAAAGAAATAATTTTACCTATATGATTATCAATTGCAAAATGAGAAATGTTTTATTATTATACGACATCAAACAAATATGTATTTGTTTGATGTAGTATGTCTGATAATGGACATTCACTCTGATACTATCTTTAAAAAATAGTGATATAATGTGGGCTCTATCAGCAATATAAAGTACAATAATTATAAGAATGTTTAGAGTGATTGTGGCTATATCCATCCTCTTCTATCCCTTTTCCCCAAGCTGTCATTTCCTAGCATTTTTATTAAATGAATGAATAAAATAAAGTATTCTGTCTAACCAAGTTGAAAGTTTTGGTACAGAGATGTTAAAGGCACTGTATGTATTACAACTGGATGATTAACGATTGTTTTAGTGTTTTTGAGTCAATGTACCATGTAATCATCGTACCACTATTTTCTTATCTAAGTATCTCACAAATGCTTCTTGAATGACGATATTAGTATTATTATGTTGAAGTTATAGTAAGTTGTTTTATTATTTATTTATCCTATTTCTACTACTCCAAGCTTAACTAGAATTCATTGCCATACTTCGCTGTTTTTTTTGTCACATTAAAAGATGTAGGATAAAAATGTAAATGTTTGAGAAGATCTTGAACAAAATTTTCACATTCGTATACGAATAGCAGCTGCAAAAGTCATTTCATAACTAATGTTTTTTAAAATAAACTTGCTAAATTGATTTTTCAGCCTTTTCTTTTATATGTATGATAAATTGATTTTGCTAGTCGAAAGCAGGGGCAGATTCAGGGTGAGGCAAAGGGGGGCTGTAGCTTTTCCCCCCACCCCTTCAGCCATATAGTATAGAGTTTTATTTGATCAAAGGAAAAATGGCTTGGTCAAGTCTCCCAACCCCCCTCCCTCATGTTTTTGGCTGGATTTGCTCTTGGAAATGATAAAATGGTTAATGTATTGGAAATAGAATGGGAGTTCACTCTACAATCCAAGGGCCACTGCCGCCTATGATTGGGAGCAATTAAATGCTCTAAAAAGTACCATCATCTTAAAAATCTGTTAGAAAAGCTTAGTCTCACTTTTGAAATAGAAATATAGTAAAACCAGCAACTCCTGGATTTGAGGCTAAGCCCGCACAATCTGTAGATTGGTGCAACAGAACAGAGAAAAACATAAAAATCACCAAAGTAAAAGAACGACTATAACCTTTTATTGTGGGTTCCCTGTACGATTGTCATCTGCGGGAAGCCTGGAACAAGCGCGCGCAAAAATTAAACATGGCGGAAGTGAATGTTTATCAGTCGTCTTGGAAAGAACCCTTTCCTTCTTCAATTTTAGGTAAGATTCAAGAATCGTAATAAGTACAGGAGCTATTTTCATAGTTTATCGGTGGAGAATATTTATCTATTTTTTATTTTTTGTCGTTTTCATAGACTATCAAAACCTTTCTCAGCTCATTGGGACCTGGAATAATGATGATCCTCTCAGAAAAGCAGAGAGAGTAAAAAGACTTCTAGAGTTCTTTTTAGGTAAGGCTGAGGACGGATTCTCAAATATGGGGAGAATTTTAATAAATCTTGAATTTAAAAGACCTATAAACCAGTCATCCAGGTATGCAGTGGACAGTCATCCAGGCAGACAGTCATCCAGGCAGACAGTCATCCAGGCAGACAGTCATCCAGGCAGACAGTCACCCAAACAGACAGTCAGACAGAAAGTCACCCAGGCAGACAGTCACCCAGACAGGCAGTCACCCTGGGCTGTCAGACAGATAGACATTACAGTCAATTGATGATATGGGAATATGCAAATATAGCATGCATCATTCCTTGCTATGTGCATTTATATCTCATGCTTATGTGTGTGTGTGTGTCCATAAGCCTTTACAGTATTTAAGGTGTTTTTCTCTCTCCAGAAATTGTACAATATGACTTAACAACAAAAATAACTCCAGAATTTTGGAGGCAGAATAACTCAGATGAGGTAAACAAAAGATATATTTATACATGTACGTTGCTGTTTATTTAGTTCAATAAACTTCACATGATATCATAGGTTTGTTAGCTGCATCTATTGAATTTCCCTTCTTACTACTAGACTAATTTTGTGTTAATCGAAAAGAGGCATTATCTTAAACTGCTTCTTACATGTTTAGGATGAAATGGATGACAAGGACAAGAAGCACCCAAAGCTTTACAGTGCTGTAAATTACTTATACAAGAGTCTGTCTATTTATCAACCATCATTGAACCTTCTTTATGGATTGACAAAGCCACTGGATATCAGGTCAGTCTTTCATCTTTGTTATTCATTTATTTTTTGTTGCCTGACATTCAACTTGGCCAGCAGGTCAACCACTTTCCAGTTTCCTCAGTTTGTTGGGCACCAGCCTATTGTGTGGGAGGTTGAGTTGAGTGGCTTCTTGCAAATAATCAGTTTACTATACTGATGGTACATTGTACAGTAGTGATTAAGTAAATATATGGCATTTGAAAAMAATTATCAGCCTTGGTAGACTAAAGGACTGACAAAATAGAATGTACATGTATACTAAACTATTGTAATATTCTATATTGTCCATTATTTTAGGGATGCAAAAGAGAGCTTCCAATCATTGATTAGAGTAATAGTTTTTGGTAACATCCCAGAGATGTTTAATAAGACAGTAGAAGAATTCTATAGCCAAGCATTTAAAGCTTATCAAGTTACAAATAAACCACAAGATCAAGAAGCAGACATCTCTGTTGATGGTGAGTATGATGTTAGCTTCTTTTAGCAAGTATTTGATGTAATGCATTAATGAAATACAATAGAGCAGCAATAGAATACAGTAGATTTTCTGATTACATTACATTAACTGAGTGCTATGTAGGTTCTTCCATTACACTAAAATAGGTTTCAAGTTGGCTACCTTTGTTTAACATCCATTTCACCACAGGCAACCCATTTAATAGGTAAAATTGTGAGCGGGTTGTAAAAATGAGAAGCATATAAGCCTTGTAAGGACTTTAGGAATTCATAGTTTACCCAGCAAGTGTGTATGATCTATATCATATATTTGTGCCTGGTAGTCCAACCACTTCATGCTAATACTTTATTTCAATAATTTCACCACTTTACCTTGGGTGTAATATTTTCCGATTTCAGACCATGTGTCATTCCTTGAGAATAAGATTCTTTGTTTGAGGTGTACCCATATTCATGTGTCCTCTATTGCACAACTGTTAAACAAAGAAATGATGCTCCAGGGAATAAAACATGGTCTGATATGGTAAAACATTATAGCCAAGCTAAAAAAGTTAATTTTACACCATAATTACTCTTGACCACTTTCAAAACTGTCCAATTTGGTTCAATTATTATGATGCATTTATTTGATAATAAAACCTAATTTTTTTAGATGATGAAAGTAATGAGGATATTTCACTTGAGTGCACTGGCTGTGAACAGGAGAAAGACAGTTGTATCTGCCAGACGATTGTAGAACAATTCACACAGTTTAACAATTGGTTATGCAGTATGGGACTATTACATAAAGTGGCAGGTGCTGCATATGTATCTGTCATACACAATACAGTAGGTGTTTTATTGGCAATTACAATTATTAAAGGGTGCAATACTAATCCATCCTTGGGGGGTGTGGTCAGGTGGGAAGGATGTCCCCTTAAACAGTCCAACAGTGCACTGCAGTGCCAACTCAAGTGAGTTTCCTCAACCCTGGAATGGCTAATGGAATAGACCTTTGGTCTTTGGTCTTTCTCCTTTGAATCCACCCTTCTTTTTGAAAGGTCAAAAAAGGTGTGCCTTATATACTAGGAAATACCACATGAGTGTTTACAGCAAATTATATATTGGTGCAACAATAAATCATATCATTTTTTGACAGATTAAAGACAGGATAGAGCAAAAATGCAAAGGAGAATTTGAGACCTCATTTTTAGAAGTATTAACAGATTGGATGGAAACAGAACTATTTAGATGGCTCAGCTCGATCATTCACAATCAAGGTAAGACCTGTATTTTTGTTTATCAAGCATTTTAAAATGCTCTTTTATTTTAAAGATTTTAAAAACTTTGTTAAAAATAAATTTATAATGTACATGTATTACAGGTAGCTTGTTGTGTTATATCAGATATTGTCATCAAATGGAAGAGAAACCAAGAGAATTTTCAATTTTTTCCTCAGATAAATCTGAACACTCTAATCTGATGAGTCTAGATTCTTGGAAACCAAGACTGAAGTATTTTATGTACAAAACGTTTGCAGACCTCAGGTATATTATTTGTAATATTTCAAAAATATATCCCCAATCTACTGTACTTGTATTCCTCTTAGATTCTCAAATAGTTGTCTAGACGTACAAGTTGTACATATGCCATGGATCCAAGACTCAAAAGCTTTCATTCCAAGTTATACATTAGATTAAATTTGTGTGTAACGGTCTTGCGAGACAAGTTTCACGGGTGTTATACACCTCAATTTTGTCCTGAAACTTTTGTTTGTGAAACAAGTTTCGGTTGCATGAATAGAACTGGTTTCTACCAAAATTTATGCCTTGAACAAGTTTTAAAACTAAACGGCACTGTGTAAGACTCTTCTGCAGCTTGTCTTGAAATGTTATTGAATACAAGTTTCAGCTAAAAGTTGTAGTGCGTAACAGGGAGGATCTTAACTCCAATTCTTCATCAAGGATTATCTGTTTAGTGTAAAATTAATTTCAACCATAAGGTACAAGCATTAATTTTTACTAAAATAAATTTCGGGAATTGAATATTTTAAAACAGGATTGGTGAACTGTTTAACATTATTGTGGAATTTCCTGAATCTATGCCAGCTATACAAGACCTCAAGGTAAGCATACAGTAGTCTACAACTGGATTAATTTTAAAAAATTTCTCCCACCTTAGTAGTCTTGAAATGTGTAGTTCCAGAAATCATCCGTACCCACCCCACAAAGGAATTTGGAATTTCCAAAGAGTAAGGGGGTCAGAGAAAGAACCAAAAATTACAGAGTTTGTATGGAAAAAAATTGGAATTTCCAGGGGGTAGGGGGGTGTCTTAAAAAAATTCCTCCATGAGGGGGTATGGATAATTTTTGGAACTACACAATACTTAAAAATTATCTGCCAAAGGCCAAGATAATATCAATGAATATTCACCTTGACAAACAGAATTTTAGACTTGAATATTAGAGAATAGATGAAATTCATGATCAAAATAAAAATATTTTATTATGATCACTTCCGCTTTTGTGATTTTACTTCTGCTTATGACCCGGAGCTGAAAATCAGCTTGCTTTTTGTTTTTTGACCAGGAATGCTTGGACCTTACTGATCAACGAAGCCAACTTGTAAATTCATTACGATCAGTGTAAGTAACAGGATATTTTTTAAAACATTATTATGAATAAATGAAATATAAATATTTAGTCCTTGTTTTATGCGGGTAGCATGTAATACATGTAGCCAGTGCTTCAGTGAAGGAAGGAAAACTGGAAAACCAGGGAAAAAACCTTTAAAGCACAGGAAAGAACCAACAAACAAATCTAAATATTATACTCACAAACCAACTGTAGAACACTGAATCCAGCAATGTACAGAGTCTCAATACTAACTGCAAACCACCAACTGCACTTTGGCTTAGTTTATTTATTCCTTCTCATTTATTTCTAAGCTGTTAAATGTAAGTTCCTTGATGACGTATGATATGTTTATGTACAGGTTTGAGAAACGTCTTCTCCATCCTGGAGCAAATACCTCTGTCATCCTTACACAATATGTGTCAGCCATCAAGGCTTTACATGTCTTGGATCCCACTAGTGTGATTCTAGAAAATGTATGCGAACCAGTCAAACAATACCTCAGGTAAGCTGCTAGTTCTCCATTGTGTCTTCCCAGTTATTTTTGATATCCCCCCTCCCCACTCCCCACAATTGAAAAGTTAAAAAGTTCAATTTTCCTCACTGGATTTTCCAGTAAAAAATGAACAAAACTAAATGTAGTGGTGCAATAAACAATAGGAATAGCTTTAAATTTGATTTCCAACATTGGGAATTTTTGACTGGATTTTGATTTTTCTCTAAGTTAAATTCTCATCAAAAACAGCAAAACTAAAGTTATAGTTAATAAATAATTCTAATAATGGTTCATTTTTGCTGTCACAGAACCAGGGAGGATACGGTTCGCTGCATTGTGACAAGCCTGACCGATGACAGCAGTACAGAACTTGCCGAGGTACAGTATAATATTATTATACCTATCTTGTTGGACAGTTAGAACATTTTTCTAAAAACAAAACATGTTACTTTCTCTCATCTCTGCATTTTTTTTGGGTATGCAACTCAAAGGATCTCGTTCCCAAGGGAATGATGAAAGCTCTGATATAGAAAATGTTAATTGAAAAAGGTTTAATTGAAAAAGGTTTACTTATGATACGATTCTAGAATTTTCCTCTAAACTTTTCCAGGAATTAATGCATGGAGAACCTCATCCAATTGACGACCCTGGTGCAAGTGAAAGTGAAGAAGAAACAGAAGACTGGATGCCGGACCCTGTTGATGCTCCTCCAGGTATCAGAACTACTTTTATTGATTGATTAAACCTGAAACAGCCTCTAGGCTAAACGAACTCTTAGATCAAACCCTGTAACAACCTAGTCTGGGCTGATCTAAGTTAAGACATGGCTAACTCACAGATTGAACCCTGAAACAACCTCTTGGCAGATTTAAGTCAAGACATGGCTAACTCAGAGATCGAACCCTAAAACAACCTCTTGGCAGATCTAAGTCAGGGCACGGCTAACTCACAGAGGGAACCCCAAAAACAATCATTGGGCAGATCTGAGTCAGGGCACAGCCAACTCACAAGATGAATTGGAATTTAGTGCATTATGTTTTGTGGACGCAGGAAAAGCAAAAAACCTGGGGGAAAATACAACCTGGGGGGGTAGAGGCAAGTCCATTTTTGATACACCACCCTTGATTCCAAAAAAACATTCAACAGCATCCAAGATGCTCTAAATTTAGAACCTAAAGTGCATTATAAAATCTTTTTTCAGCCCGATCATCAAGAGCTGGCCGGACACCAGATATTATTAGGTTAGAAATACATTATCTTTATTATTTTGATCATAGCACAAGGACAACAGGTTACAATAATTGTTTATATTTTTGTTTAGTATGCTTGTTAACATATATGGAAGTAAGGACCTGTTTGTATCTGAATACCGCACTCTTCTGGCTGACAGAATACTATCTACATTTAACTATGACACCGACAAAGAGGTTAGTATTTAATAGGTAATGTTCTTTTATTGCAATATGTATCCCATTCATTCCCATTATTCCAAAATAGTCTTATTCTTCTTGCATCAGATCCAACCATCATTCATTCTAATTCTATCCCATCCTATCATATTTCATCCTATTCTATTCAGTCAAACTCAATGCAAACACCTTTCATTGCATTATATTCCCATCCCACCTGGCAGTCTATCCTATCCATCCTAACCCATCCCATCCCATCCATATCCTATCCCATCCCATTCCATCCCACCCATTGTATTCCATTTTTCCATCACATATCGTTAAATGCTCATTATAAATAAATTTCACAACTGATTATTTGTAGTTAAGGTACCTGGAACTTCTCAAGTTAAGATTTGGAGAATCTCACTTACATTTCTGTGAGATCATGCTTAAAGATGTTGCTGATTCCAGACGGATCAATACTCATATCCACACCCACAAGGAACGTGCTGGAGATCAGGTAAACATCATAATTCATCACAGAATTTTCAAGTTTCGAGTTCTCTATTGCTCTTGGTTGGGCTCAGTTTTGTGTAGAATATTCACATGATCCAGAGAAGGTCTTTGGCATTTCAAATTGCTTGTACATATTGTTAAAGTTGTACATTCTTTACCTTACCATTGATATTTGTGAATATTTAAACACTGATACAAAGCTAACCCTGAGTAAATGAGCCTGTAATTAAGGAACACAGTGGTACCAAATATATTCAAAAATTATCTACATAAGGAATATAAGCTTTATATGTTAAAATTGATACTGTTGGCATGATTTATGTTTAATACATTTGTCAACCCATCTACTCCTCATCCATCAGTTTATATTCATTCACACATCCACCAAATTAAATGTGCCAATAATCTTGAGGTATTAAAAGCTGTTTTTTGTCACCACTGACATATTATCCAGGCAAATGACATAGACATGAATGCCATGATCCTGTCTGCTGTGTTCTGGCCTTCATTCAGAGAAGAGAAGCTTAAAGTACCAGATGTAGTTAAAGAGTAAGTATAAAGAATAATGATGATAATAATAGTGGTATTGATGATGGTTGGGAAGATAATAGTGATGTTAGCTGCTAGCTCGTAATTTTTTCTCTTTTGTTGACAGAGCCTCTATTAAGTGAAAGTTTATTTCCTTTGTATGTTCTTACTAAGATTAAAAAATATGATGGTAATGATTGACTGAATAACTACTTAATATATTCCAGGTCAATGGACCAATATCGTACTGGATACGAAGCCCTTAAAGGCATGCGCACCTTACAATGGAAGAGTCATTTGGGCCTCGTTGAAGTGGAGTTGGAACTAGAGGACAGAACACTGAATCTTACGGTATCCCCTATACATGCAACAGCCATTTGGCACTTTCAAGAGAAAGGTAGCTATTGCAGTCCACTGTATCATTCTTTATAATTTATTGTAGATATGTTGTGTAGAAGCACAAGGACTGCGCAAGGACTGCGCAAGGACTGAAACTTTTGGGGCGATAGAAATTTTTTTAAATACCCACCACACGGGCATTTTTTAGCTGCAGGTGTGGCACAGGCAGCCCAAACAAGGTTACTGTGTATGGTTTATAACAGAATGTATGGGAGTTATGATAAAGATATGACAATAAATTGTTTCACTCAACAATTTTCTTCAAAACTTGCTGTAGTTGTTGCTTGAACCTTGTTCAGTCTTTTGGCGAAGTTTCAGCGCGATTTGGGGCCGTTTAGTGTGTTTTTCAAAATTCGCTCCAAATCGCGCTGAAACTTTTATTGTCATATCTACATCATATCATTCTCTCATAAATCACAAGAATGCGCAACTCTCCCCTTAATTTCTCCCACTCCCTTTTTCCTTCCCACCCCTCCCTTAGATACCAAATATTGATACCAAACGATAACCAAAATACTGTGTCCATTCTGTTAGATCGTTGGCAGATAGAGGAGCTTTGCAGTGTCATGCAAGTAACGCCTGGGACATTAAGAAAGCGCCTAGCATTCTGGGTAAATCAGGGTGTTTTGAAGGAGGAGAGTCACGACACGTTTGTGGTTGTGGAAAAACAAAAAGGATTGAATAAAGTTAATAATGGTACGTAAAACATCAACATGCTCATTATTTTAGGGGAGGAGGGAGGGACCATCAGATGTTTCCTGACCCTCTTACTAGGGACAAGTGTTATGTTCCATGGGACATCAAAAACAGAATAACTAACTGTAACAGTAGGGTCATCCTACCTTATGTGACGGGGAGTTACGCCTTGCAGTAATAATGATGATGATGATGATGATAATGATGATAATGATAATGATAATAATAATAATGATAATAATAATAATTGACAATGATAATTCTTCAAGATACAATCAGTAATAATAATACTTCTACATTAATTTCTCACTAAGAAAAAAAATAGAATAATAATAATGATAACAACAATAACAACAACAACAACAACAATAATAATAATAGGGTCACCTTATCCTACATATCTTTAGATTAAATTTTGATTAGGACTGGGCGAATTTCGACTCCCTTTCTTTACAACTGACAGAGGAAGCCAGTGTTGATAGAGTTATTTTTTACAGAAATGGTCATGGATGCCGAGTTGGAGTCCGTGACGGCGTCTGCGGAACACCAGAGAGAAGAAGAGCTTCAGGTAATGCTTAGTCACTTCGGAACATGCGCTCTGATTGGTTCAATACTGTGTTCTCCTAAAAAACGGAGAACGGTGCTGACGTCATCTGCGTATGCGCAACTGGTGTCCTTGCAATCACAAGTCGTTTTTAGTGATCAAAGCAATAAACGGAAAGAGCGCGCGTGCGCAAATTGATGACGCACGGGAGTAGGGTAAGGCGAAATTTAAACTACATCCGGTTACTAAAAATAGCCCAACCGGGAATTTACATGGCGCGCGCGCGTGCGTTATTGAGAAGTTTCCCTCTCTTATTTGTACTCTCTTGCATGAAACCAATTGTATTTATTACCTTGTGTGGCCATCCAATAACCTCTTTGATTCAGTAACAACCGGTTTTGATTTCCTGTTAAACAGGTATTTTGGTCATACATCGTGGGTATGCTGACCAACCTAGAGAGTCTTCCTCTCGAGAGAATCCACTCAATGCTGCGAATGTTCGCAATGCAGGGTCCCTCTTCTACTCAATGTAGCGTCGAGGATCTCAGGAGATTCCTGAATCGCAAAGTTAGAGAACAAGAGCTACAGTTTGTTAATGGATTTTATCGATTACCGAAATCTGGTAGATAAAAAAAATTGATAGGGCAGTGAGTGATAAAGTAACTTGATGTACATAAATCTGCAAGACTATATATAGGTTATAACTATTTCAAAAATGGTTTTTTTTTTTTTCAAAAATGGTTTTTTTTTTTGATAGAAATAAAATTAATTGGTATGCCTAAAAGTTTGTTTCGAAGTTATGTTTTCGAAGTTGTTTGAAAAAAAGAAAGAAAAAGCACAGCATAAAATAAACTAATATTTTTACTATGTATTTATATTGTTATGTTAAGTGCGGTCCCATGATGCTTGCCGATACCATTCGACCTTTTCTGCTCAGGCCAAATTGTTTGGTGAAATATATGCTTTCTTCTGCTCCACCTTTGGATATACCGGAAAGAATGGTCGCCAAAAAACAAGCTAGGCATGACATAATATGCGTAACTGGAGATGGTAAGCTTATAAAGAGGTCAGGAATCTACTGTTCAGGTCCGAGCTGAAGGAACAAGACAAATTCATTTTAGAGCTGGATATTGTGATTCTTCGACGAGATTTTGGTTGAGTTTCAAGCCATTTCGAGGTCGTCATTATGCGGAAGTATCTCGTGGTTTTGATGTTGGTTTATAACTACATCGAGTCAGTGACGAGTAAGTATCGATTGACACTCCACACGTATTTTATATGCCCATGAAATAATTTATGAGAATCATAAGTGTCACATGCCTGGTATGAAGAAATACAGAATCCATATCAAACTTTTCACTTTTTGACGAAACAACAAAATAACTGATTTCCCTACCTAACTTTGAGTCAATTTGAAGTAGAATTTATGCAATACGAGTACAGTTTTACCTTCGCACGTCTGATAATTTTATTCCTGCATTCCCTGAAATTCCGATTCTTTGATTGAGGATTTTCTTGTTTTAAGGATATTTTTGTAAGACGTCTTACGGGATTGCTTTTCATTTCTGCCGCTTTCGATGAAAATAAAAACATGAAGAAAATTCTCAATGAAGGGGAGAAAATCAACCAAATCTGCTTCTAATCTGTTTTCTGTTTTCTAATAGGACGTTACTTAGTACAGCTATTTAGTAACGTATATTTAGTAACGTGTTGCGACAAACGAACACGAACGACCTACACCCTCCCTCCATTCTGCATCGACTATAATCGTGACAGTTGCTTGGAAACCAAGAGAGAAGTTGCTTGGTACAAATGGCAAAAATAAAGGTGGATAGTACTGATAGTACTTTTCTGTTATGACATCGGTAGTTAACTGGGAAAGACTTCCCCACTGACGCAAATAGGCACGTGTTTCTGTACTCAGATGTTCTTCTCTGAACAACGAGCTAACGGGTGATGGTGGTTGAAAAAAGTAGTTTTACTGGCCAAACATGACCTCCAAACTTGGCCAGGAGCAAGAATTCCGGGCTCAAAGTAACTACGAATAAAGCACGTTAATTTTTAAATTATGAAAGCGTTTTTTGTATGATACAGGTCAAGCTTGTTCTCGTGCTTCGATGATCCGCGATGGGACATGCACAACCCAGTGTGTACCCTCAACAGGATGTCCTGAACCAGACTCGGACTGTCTGTGTGATTCCCAATGTGGATATAGCTGCGTCAAAAGAGGTAATGGGGGCTGGGTTTACATTTAGAAGATAACGGAAATTTGACATCTTGCGCACGAATCCATTTACATGATCCTTTGCACCGAAAGGTCGCTACTGGACATTCAGCGTCGGAAAAGCGAACCGCAGTGCAGTGCATTATGGAATATTTTGAAGAAAAACCTGGCATTTTTAAACTCCCACAGTGCATTGCGCACGATTCACGCGCGTGCGCAATTTCTAATCTGTTTCTAGAGACACCCAGATAAGACAGAGTACTTTGCGCACATCCATGATATCCTTATATTGATGAGCTTTATCCGTAAACCCTTTACTGAATGAAGTCACATGACTTCTTGAATGGTCACATGACTTGCTAATACCCCACTTGTATTGAAGGTTTGTCTTGTGGTCCAGCACCAACTATACGTAATGCGGACCTAACATCATCTGGGACAGCCTTTAATGATACTGTGGTATACACATGTCAGTCTGGTTATACCATAAATGGTGATAATGTAAGGAGATGTACTGCTAAAGGAACGTGGAGTGGAGTTGGTCCTACATGTTGTAAGTACAGTTCTAATCAACGCTATAATATTAAACTAGTCTCGTACTAAATTATATATAGAGTACAAACACTAAATGTCTGCCATAGTTATCACTATTTAGTAGTAAATAGCACAAAGAAAAAGTAAAGAAAACAATAGAATTAGCCTAAAACAGCACTATTTAGTGATATTTATGTTGCACACTTTTAGTGTTTGCATTCTATAATAAGCCATAATAAGTACTGTAAAATAGGCTGCGCCTACTACAGCTACATTGGCTGAAAGAGACTACAGTGGCAATAACAATGTTCCCCGCTTTAGGTAACTATAGCGAACGCGTAGTACGACGCGTGCGGTCGTCGAAGAAGTAGAAGATAGAGAGCTTAAGAATCTCGATTACGGTAAACGTGAAACGTCTTTTGAAAAAAATCAATTCTTAAAAAATAGTGAAAAAGAATCGCAAACATCTGCAATTAGATAAATAAAATAATACTTATTTTCAAAGAAAACGGATTTCTAAAAGGGAAACCAGGGAAGCCATGAAAAAAAGGTCATGCCGCTTTTAGCGGGAAGAAAAATACCCAATTCTTTATCGTTACTGCGGGAAACGTAACACCAGCATAGAATGGGTGACACGCGACGACACCAGATGAACAGTGTGATTTTCCCTTCCCGTTGTTATGGTACCGCCTTGCCTTAACCTATCTTAGATTACCGATATCATTTCCAGTGCCCGTTTGCCAGCAGCCCGACCTGCCATTTGGCTCGTACGTGAAGACTAACCTCAAGTCAGAGTACAAGACAGGAGAGAGTGTTACCCTTGACTGTAAAACGGGCTTCATAAAGGAGGGTAATCCAAGAAGAATTTGTATATCTGGAAGATGGACAGCATTTCCATTTGAATGCAAAGGTTGGTACAAAGTCTGCATCCTTCTCTAAGAATCAGCCCCAAGCCCCTTGTCACAAGTATTAAACAACCGTTAAACAAAGAAATAATACTCTAGGGAATGACACGTGGTCTGATTCTTTATTTGAGTGGTAGCCATATTAATGTGTCTTTGCGGCGAAGAAAAGAATGATACTCTAGGGAATGACACGTGGTCTGAAATGGGAAAATATTGCACCACGACAAAAAGGTCTATTTATATCGTTAGCATGTCGGAGCTAAATAAACCACCTGCTCCGAGTCTTAAGTAGTTGAAATTCTAGATTCCATTCCCTACCCATCAATCAACCCGCCTCCAAACGTTATTTCTTACTGTACTTTGTTTTCTTAACTTGTGAATTTTTTAGCAACACATTCTTGTCCAAGAGCAATCCGCGGCTCTCGATACAGGTGTGCTAATAAATGTTCCCCCGACGATCCTGATGGGTGTCTCGCGGGACACAGATGTCTTTGTGACGGGCAGTGCGGTTACAGTTGTGTTGAGCAAGGTGGGCCGTCATTTTCTTATTTACTCTCCTTGCTTGTTTAGAAAACACCAGCCATTTTTGGTATTTTGGTTGTCTAATTTGAGATCACTTGCATAACCTGCATCACTAGCATCACTTGCATCACTTGCACATTCCTCCCTCAACAAATATCTAATATGCAGCTTTTATGCTTTCTTTCTCTTTTACTTGATTCTAGGCCTGCAGTGTCCTTCCCCCACTCGAGTTAAGAACGCTCTTATAAAATTCAATAGCACTGGATACAATGGCACTGTAACGTACAAATGTCAAGAGAACTTCACCCTCAACGGCGATAGAGTACGAAGATGTACAGCCAAGAAGAGATGGGAAGGAGCAGTACCTTCCTGTTGTGAGTATTGAGTAAATTTGACGCATTACTTCTTGCTTAGCAGCGAGTACAACATTTTGCAGTTTTAAGATGTTTATTTGTTTAATGTATTGGTTCAATATTATTTTCTGCATTTCAGTACCGGACTGCGGCCAGCCAAGAGTTCCTCAACACGCCTACATCGAAAACAAGAAGTCTAAATACGCCTCTGGTGATCGAGTGACGTTCAAATGTGATGCAGGTTACAATCAAGAAGGAATATCAACAACATTGTGTTTCATGGGAAGGTGGAATGTAATGCCTTTTAGATGTGATAGTAAGTAA